TGGACCGACAGGCCTGGCCAAGAACTTGGAGACTTGGAATTTGGAATCTGGAATTTGTTTTACTTTGGGTATTTTTAATAACACAGTTAATACTTGTTCATTATAGAAATCTTGGAAAATACTTTAAAAATCATAATATATATGTGTGTATGTCTCACCCATAAATCCCTCACCCATAGTTAACTAGTATTGACAAATGGTGTACATCCTTCCAGATTTATGAGGGTTTATTTACATGTTCATTTCTTTGTTCATTTTATGTACAATAATAAAATAAACTCTTGTGTACCTACCACTGAGGTACCTTGGAAGTTTCCCAACTGCCTTCTCCGTCCTTTTCCCTTCAGAAGTAACAATCACCTTGAATTTTATATTAGTCAGTTCCTTGCTTTTCTTTGTAGTTTACCATATACATATATAGTTTTTAACCTTAATATAAACGAATCCCATTCTGCTCTTCTATGACTTCTCTTTGTTGCCCAATGTTAAGTTTTTGCTATTCAATCTCATTTAAATGTATTAATTAAGTATTTTTGCTCTTGCATAGCATTGCAGTGTATAAAGATACTATGGTTTATTTTCCTGTTCTATTATTGATGGGCATTTGGGTTGTTTCTTGTTGTCACAAACAATACTACTATGGAACTCCTGTACATCTATTCTGGGTCACATGCACAAAAGCTTCACTAGGGGACAGTCTTTGGAGTGAAATGGCTGCCTCGTGGGGCTTGTGCATCACTGACTTCACTAAGTGATGCCAACTTGTTTCCCACAACGGTTGTGTCCTCAGCGTATGCGAGTTCCTATTGCTCCACATCCTCGACAACACTTGGTATTGTCAGACTTTTTCATTTTAGCCAATTTGGTGGCTGAAAACCAGTATGTCATTTTGCTTTTAATTTACATTTCCTGATTATTGTGATTAAGCGTATTTTCATATGTTTATTGGCAGTTATTTCTATTCTGTAAAATGCCTATTCATGTTGTTTGTTCATTTTTTTAATCGTTTTTTATTGATTCACAGGACTTCTTTATATATTCAATTCTCTCTGTCTCTGTGTATCTATGTATTTATCTATGCTTTTATCTATCTAAAACTATACTTTCAAGTCTGGCTTCTTTTAACAAGAATAATAACCTACATTGCATAAAGCCTTACAGTTTTATAAATTAGTCTAGTTATGAAGATCCTAAGTAACAAACATTTTCATTCCCTTTACTCTGATTTTCTAAAGGACAAAAGTAGACCCCATATCAGACAAATAAGGATTTATCAAATGGAAAAAAAATCAATTAAAAAAAAAACTCCACTATTGTCTCACTTTACTACTTGGGAGACTAGAATAATGAATTTCTGAATAATTTTTTTTCAACATTAAATTTCGGAGAGGAAAAAAAAGATGAAAACAGCCACCCTTCCATATGTATCTCAGAGTCAGATGCTCTCTAGGGCCTGTTCTCCCCTATTTTGGCTTGGAGGAACTGAGAAAAAAATAAGATGTGCCTGCGACTGGATACAGCATGGGCAGTCCTGAAATTCAGCCACCAATCTTCCAACTAAAAGCTCCCAACCGCAGGGCAGAAGAGAGCTTTCCCTGGATGATCCATACCCTCTTGTTGGAGTGCCTCCATGCAAGGAACTGGATGTGCCAGACCCCAACAGTGTGCAAGAAGGGATGCTACAGCCTAGAACCCGCCCTCCAGGGCTTACAATTCAGTTAGAAAGACAGTGATGTAAATAAGAGCAAAAGATCTGAGAACCCGTGCATGAAAGCCGTGGAAGGCTGTCGGCAGTTTTAATTGCTGGACTGAAATTGAAGAGGATAAAGGATCAAAAGAAGAACTGTGCTCTTGGCTCCACCTCAAGTCGAGTCTGTTTGCTCTGCATTTCCTTTACTTCCAACCCTTGTTCCCTACCAGGATCAATAGGTCATATACAAGGTGGCCTTGGTCCCGTTCTCCCACCACTGCCAGGCCCAGGTCGTGGTCTCCGGGTCAGCCCTGCCCTCCGGTGGGGCCCTCCCCAGCTCTCTGAGGTGGACATACAGTGGCGAGTCCCTTCCCCACTCACAGGGACTTTCACTTTCACTCCAGCCTGGCTCAGCACGCAAAGGATTTAGGGGAATCTGGAAGTGCAGCCCACCAAACAAAAGCTGGGGCCCCTTCCTGGGCCACTGTCTTGCTATTTCTTGAAACAGGTGCTGAACCTGGTCTCCTCCCTATGCTTCTGCCCATCCCCCTTAAGTTATATCTTTTTCTTTTATTTTGAGGAAGATCAGCCCTGAGCTAACATCTGTTGCCAATCCTCCTCTTTTTGCTGAGGAATGTTGGCCCTGGGCTAACATCCGTGCCCATCTTCCTCTACTTTATATGGGACACCGCCACAGCATGGCTTGATAAGCAGTGCGTAGGTCCATGCCCTGGATCTGAACCTGTGAACCCCAGGCCGCCAAAGTGGAATGTGCGAACTTAACCGCCACACCACCGGGCCAGCCCCTTAACTTGTGTCTTAATAAGAGGCTCTTGAAAATTGACCTGGACAGTGAATCATGAGATACTACTTGGGTCTCAGTCCAAGTGGTCTTATAATCACACCCTTTTGGTGATCATCTACTCCAGTGATTCTCAACTATGGGCAGGATGTCTCTCCCCAGACATCTGATAATGTCTGGACACATTTTTGGTTGTCACAAATGGTGGTAGAGGGGTGCTATCATCATCTAGGAGGTAAAGGCCAAGGATACTGCTAACATCCTGTAATGAGCAGGATAGCCCCCATTGCAAAGAATTATCCAGCCCCAAATATCAATAGCGTCCAGGTTGAGAAACCCTGATCACTCCTCACTAGCTCAGGCTGGAAAACCACAGGTCATTGGCTTCCCTGACATGACCCCTAGTTCCACACATCTTCTTAATAGAGGGGAGCTTCTTTGATATACTGTTAAGCCAGTTCCTACAGTTGCACCTGGACACAGGATGCTGGAGAGAGGACCAGAGATCCTGTGGCTGAGTCAGTGACTCTCTCCCTTCGGAGGACTCAGTTTGTGATCTGAATTCTCCATCAATGTGACACTCATGGAAGGTATTCTGGCTGCAGTCCAATCTCTTAGGGTGACAAACTTGTAAATAGCATGGATAACGACAAAGGCCCCTCTATATTTCATTAGGTAATTACTATTTTTTCAATAAATGATACTAACTAATATCATCTGCTTGTAGTCAATCATTCATTCAGTCAACAAATATTTATAGTGTGCCCACTAAGACCAGGCACCATGCTCTAGGCTAGATGAATGGTAACTCTCCGAGGCTACTAACTTAGACCACAGCCCCTACAGCAGGCCTTCTTCATCAGGTGGGATAGAGGGGTGGGTGCTTGTTAAATTACAGATTCTTGGGCCTCCCTCCAGAGATTCTGATTTCATAAGTCAGGATGGTGTCTACGAATCTGCATTTTTAGCAAGAACTTGAGGTTACTGATACAGGCCATCCATGGGACTATGATCTAGGAAACATTGATAGAAATCATGAAATCCACCCAACCTACTCCCAGCTCTGAGAAAATTTGGACCTGAGCTCTAAGGTGGTAACTTCCTATATGCCTGAAAAAAAAATCATTTAACCATTAATTGCCTCAAGTTTCCCATTTTTAAACAGGAGAGTCAGACCTGTTCAAACACAGATGGTAAGAGGATAGAATGGTCCCACATAAATAGAAGCAGGACACTTTCAAAGGAACAGAATCTTAGAAGTTTTCCTTCTAAAAACAGATTTTTATGACATATGACAAAATGAACATTAGCCAAGTACACTGGTATCAACAGCGGATAGGAGAAAAATCTCTTGCTTATGTGAGAGGTATGCACGCTATCTGTTCTCTGGACTGACCTCAGCATGCAGTGATTCCTAGCTTCATTAGGGACCTCCCTAGTTACTAAGATAAATGGCTTCTCTGATTACTCTCAATTTTCTTTCAAATTCTTTCTCAGACCTACATCATTAGCCCTCCATTATGTGACTTTGCAATGGACCACTTATTTGAGTAGCACGTTAACCACCATTAGAGGCCCAAGTCTAAACTTTATTCCCAGCAAAACTTTTCCAAGTCGTTAGAAACACCTTAACACTTATCTATGTCTTATATCAAGGAAATTACCCCACTTGTATGAGTATAAGTATAAAACGCAGAGAATCACTTTCAGCCCAATTGCTCTACCCTAAAGTACTGTGATCAATTTAATAGAAGAAACCCATATAAAGAAACTCATGATAACAAGTATATACCAGACTGAAATCAGTGTGTCACCATCATGAGAAGAGGTATGGATGAAAGGCCAGGATATCTCAGAAAACGTGCCACTGTCCCTTAAGATAATTAACCTCAAATGCATCTCTCTTTTTCAGCTCCTCTAGCTAAGAATTCCCTTCCATTCTGTTCCTTTAACAAAAATTGTCTTTATTATACCTTCAAATGTCTCTATGTTCCTGTCTTGTCCTCATTGCTTACTTGTTGCTACAAGTAACCCCACCTCAGCCCCCCGAGTCCACAGAGAGGGCCTGGAGACCCAATGGGCTCACAACGCAGGACACCTTGAGTTGACTCACAGATCAAGCTCTTCACAAGACTACTCTCTGTGCTCCCATCAAAAACCACTCAAAATATGGATGAGTTTCCAAACACGAGAGAAATTATCCTTCCATGATAAATAGAGAAAAACTCACAGTTTTGTGTACGATCTGTAGCCTTAGCCCATCCGGAGTACCCCAGATCCCACACACCGAGGAGCTCCATTCCACCGCCGCCTCCAAAAGAAAGAGAACCCCCTCCCAGCGCTTGGGAACTTTGAGCCAACATACCAATTTGAATGCAAATGTTTCCCCAAACCCGGATTAGTGAGAAGCCCATTTTTAAGTAGACCCTGCTCCCTGCAGACCAACATGCAAATGGTGGGTACTCAAGTATAAGAACCACAAAGGCAACAAAAAGACATCGACTCTACCTATTTTCGCAGCCTCCATTTTCAGGTTGAAATCCCAGTTTCTTGGCAGCTTCAGGGACATTGTGCTTCTGGTTCCGGTGAGTAGCTGCCCCAGTGGGGAGTCTGTCACGATTCGCGCCCTTCTTGTCTTTTCGATCCTTCCCTCTAGCTGGTGTGTGTGTGTTTCCCCCTTTCTGATCACTTCACCAGCAACCTTGGGTTTGAGGTCGACTTGCCAACGTGTCTCCTCCTTTCTCTCAGAGGAAAGGTCCATCCATCTGTCACTGGGAGATGGCACCTAAATGCCCCGAACCCCACCCACAGTCCCACGGGGGCTGGTACCTTGTGAAGCGTGCACCCCGCTTTTCTTGCTTTCAGTTTTACCAGAAATATCCCAGTTGACACTTCGCTCTGCGTCATGGGAGGCAAAGCTCCTGTTCGAAAGAATCTCAGGCCTCACTGAGGCGAGATGGTGATAAACAACTGCGGCCTCTTGGCTTTTTTTTTTTTTTTTAACTGTCTGCTTCCTTGCATTTGAGGAAGTGGGCGGCTGTTCAGTGTAGATGATGCATGATGAGCACTCTTTCTCGAGAAAATGGTTTTTGGAAATGCTTGTATAAGTACAATGAGTGCCCTTGTGATAGAAGGCTATGGTTTTGATTAAAAGAAAAAGAAAATTCCGGGATTCCTGCCGTATGCCTCTAAGCCTTCCTCCTCCTCACTGAATGGATCAAGCATCTGAAAATGGTCAGTAAGACAACCAGCATTCCCCCAAAGTCACCTTCTTTTGAATTCTTGCTGCTACGAGGACCACATAGTAAGTTCTCCACTTGTTCAGGATAAAGGTTCCAAGTGATCCCAACCTGCTGTAGGGCAGGTTCTGGTGTATTCAGATCATAAGTTAGCTTTAGCTGGGTGGACCCCTCACGTGCTAGAGTGGTCTTCTGGCATTGTGCACAGGGGTTGGGTTTTGGAATCAGACCAACATGGGTTCAACACCCAGTTCCTCCACTTCCCAGCTCTGCAGCTTTTAACAAGCACCTGAATCTCTCTGGGCCTCAGTGCCCTCATCAGTAAAATGGGGTTGATAATAACCGTGACTGCACAAAGTTGTGAAGGCATCTAGTACAGAGCTTGACACACAGTGGCTGTACCACAACATTAATTCAACCCTTATTCCATTTAGTTCAGTTCTGTGACAGGCTTTCATATGTTTAACTGGGTCAGCCTAACCTAGTGATTAAATATTTGGGCCCGGAACCAACTGCCTGTGTTCAAATTCTGGCTCTCCCACTTCCTTGCTGTGTGACTTTGGACAAATTTCTTGACCACTCTGTGCTTCAATGTCCTCATCTGTAAATGGGGCAAATAATAAGGCCTACCTGATAAGGCTGCCATGAGGCTTTATGAATTAGTAGGTACAAAGTGCTCACACAGTCACTGCCTGCCAGCATGCAAGCTACATATCCTCGGTCCGTTCATTCTTCAGCTCTCCTGGATGACTCTGTCATACTCTCTTCTTCGCCTCCCACCTGCTCACTCTCTGTTGATGACCTGGTTTCCTGTTTCATCGAGAGAGTTGATGCAACTGGAAAAGAACGTCTGCAAGCTCCCACTGCTGTACCTGCCACTCCGTGCACGTAAGCCCACACTCAGCCTTCTCCGCTCACAGTGGGAGAACCCATTGTCGTCACTCCCCCACCTCTACTGCGTCATCAGTTTCTTCTGTCTCCTGGATCATTCCCATCAGTATTCAAACTTATTATTTTTTAACCCACCTTTTCAAAAAATCTCTTTTGATGCCACTTACCCCTTCAGCTACAGCCTCGTTTTTCTCCTTCATTTCTAAGCAAAGCTTGCATAAGAATAATCCTTACCTGCAAACGCCTCTGCTATTATTCTCTCCTCAATCCCTTCTGTTGATGTTTTTGCTCCCACGACTCCACAGAATATATTCTTATCAAGGACACTGATGTCATCCTTGTCACTAAACCCCCTGGTCACTTCTGCATGTCATCTCACTGACCTCTCAGCAGCTTTGGACACATCTGACCACTTTCTGCAACTTGGGGCCCCTCTCCACTTGGCTCCCTGGACCCCTCACTGGCCTGGTTGCCTGCCTGCCTTTCTGGCTGCTCTATCTCCACTGCCACTGATTCCTCCTCATCTCTCTGAGCTCTAAATAGTGGAGGAAACCAAGACTCACTCAGTGGACTTCTTTTCCAGCCAGACTCACATCTTGGTGAGCTCATCTGACTCAAGGCTTTAAATGCCTTGTCTCTGCTGATAATTTCAACATATATTTCCAGCCCAGACCAGCCCCCTGAACCCCAATCATCTACGTCTCTGCTTAGATATCTAATAGCCATCTCAAACTAAAATGTCCAAGACTTATATTCAGGGGACCAGGCTGAAGGAGAAGTGATGACCTGAGGCATATTCTTCTCCTTGTGATGGAAAGGAATGTAAGAAGGAAGAATCACACAAGAACCTCTGCTTGCATCACGTCTGCTCATATTCCAGTGGCCAACACACATCACACAGCCAAGGCCAAAGCCAGTGAGGCAGGAACTACACACCGCCCTGAGAGGGAGGGGGGAGGGGGGGAGGGAGAAGGGAGTAAATATCTGCGGTCAAGACTCCAATCCATCAGACCAACCCAGTTTACCCAGCTGCCCTCCAACCTCCCCGGGGGTGCTGATTCCTCTGAACTTGACTCAGCCAGTTGGAGACTTTGGAGCCCCCACTCTGCCTTACTGCCTCCCCGACCCAAACATTGCTGCTCATTTTCCTATCCTGATGTGGGGTGGGGTCGGGCAGTCACCATCCACAGGGAACTTGACACCATGGAGAGTGTCAGTCCTGGGACATTTAACTCAGGAACTCTGAAAATATTTTGGAGGTAGTATTTAGAAACACACAGAGAACTTCCTTTACTCTTTAGGATAGGTTCCTGTGAGTCTTGGAAAAACTCATGACTGATGGGGAAGTTGGTTGTGAACACTTGGGAAGGCAAACAGAGGAAAAGCACCCCTGGAAAGGCCCAGCACAGCAGCCTTCCCTCTGAAGAGCCCTCTCCGGGTCAGGCAGCTGCCTGGGTAGGGGGAGAGGACAGCTGTCTGCTGCCGTACTGCTCCCCACTTCCCAACCTTCAGAAAATGAAGAACTAGATGTCTTGTCTGGTCCGGAAGTTTGAATCAGTGTCTCCAACAGCGAAAGCAAAAATTCATTCACCTATCTGCTTATTGAATGCTAACCATTTGTTAAGTAAGGACTTAATTTTTGCTGGACATTGAAGGAAAGTTCATGATGAAGCAGATTTGGTTTCTGCCCCCATTCAGCTTACAGTGTGTTGAGGGAGAAGAACGATTAAGTAAACAACTAAATACAATGTAAGAAGAGTTATGTGGGAAGGAGGGTAGGGAGCTCTGGGAGTTCTTATTGGAGGAGCCTAACTGGGACCTGGGGAGTGACAGAAGGCTTCCTGGAGGAAGCGTCTTTTATATTAAAGCTTGATGAACAAGGTAGGGAATCAAGAGGGTTGGAAAAGACTTCCAAACAAAACAAACAGCATACAAGTGGCAGAGAGGCCAGAAAGAACGCATCAGGTTGCTCCCAAAAAGGAAGAAAGGCATGGGATGGAGGAGAGATGAAGCTGCAGAGAGAGACAGGGCTGGAGTGGGGCTGGGTCCCTGGTGAGCCTTGGGAAAGAGTTTCGACTTTACCTTGGAGGAAATAGAAGCCATTGCAGAGTTTATATTGGGATCGCTGTGGCAGATATCCAGGTGAGAACGAGTGTGACAGTGTGCAGCAGTGTGCAGGGCAGGAAGGGAAAGCAACACAAGAGTGTTTTAGGTGGAAGGACTGATAGCCGCGGGGCAGTTTCTCTGGGAGGAAAAGAGACCCCATGGTCTGTCCACAGTCCCTGCAGAAAGGGCAGCTCCAATCACAGACATGGGGAGTGCACAAAAAGAGCAAGGATTGCTAATGAGGAGTGCAAAGTTGAGGTTCCCCAAGGAGAAGATGCAAAGCTCAGACAGGGGGATGTTGCATTTAAAGACCTACAAGCACTTGAGTGCAGATGTTCTGCAAGTTTGTGAGCCTAGAGCTCAGGAGAAAGATTCATTCATTCGTTCACTGGTTCACTCCATAAACATTTATCCAGGACTGTGCTGGATGCTGAGCAAAACAAGGATGATTAAGAACCTGGCCTAATCCTCAACTGACTCATGAGAGAGAAGTGTAAACATAATGGCAGCGCTATTCGCAGTCCAAAAATAGTGCACACACAGGGAAGGTTGAGACCAGGAAACGGTGAGCTCTGCTTGGGTGGCCAGGGAGGGCTTCCCGGGAAAGGTGACCCAGGAGAGAGCAGTCAGGCAGGAAGCAAGGTGGGGGAGAGGGGGGAGGGCATTCAGGGCAAATGAAACAGCGGATGGCTGCTAAAACACGAAACCCATTTAGGGAAGTACCAGGGATGTGCGCGGCTGCGGCGTAAGGCTGGAGGAGGAGCTGGGTGAGGTGGCAGGGGCCGCTGGGCCAGGGCCTGACCCACTGCTGAGGGGTTGGACTCCACCTGAGGTGAACAGTCATTGGAGGACTCTTTAAACATTCCTTTTATTGTTCTTTTCACCATTATAGAAGTCTATGCAAGTTTTAAATGAGCATAAAATAAAAATCACTGTTACCATTTAATGTGTCCTGAAAATTTTTCCCATTCTCAGTCTCCACCTCTCTCGCTGTAAGTGTATACGTAGTGTATGTATATTTGTATTTTTTAACTTTATTAAGGAATAATTGACAGATATAATTGTATAGATTTAAAGTGTACAACATGATGATTTGATATATATATGCACTGTAGATGTATGATTACCAAGATTGAGATGATTAACACAGCCATGCCTCACATTATTAACATAGTTACTCTTTTGTGTGTGTGGTGAAAGTGCTTAAGATCTACTCTCAGCAACTTTCAAATATATAATAGTGTATTATTAACGATAATCATCATGCTGTATATTAGATCCTGTATATATTTTTTAAAAATTAAAAAAATTAGTTTGTATGCTTTTATAAGCTATCTTCCTTTGACAAAAAAACATGAAGAGTAATCTATCATTAAGCATTTTTCTGAAACATCATTATTAACGGCCTCATAGTTCTGAATTATATGGTGAGAGCAACATTTATTGAACAAATCCCTATGTCATTGAATACTTGAGATGTGTACAAATTTTCATAATATTTTTGTAGCTAAATATCTGGGTAACTCCATTCTCCTCTCCTCCCATCCCCAGGTAAATTCTTAGAGGTAGAAATGCCAGGAAAGTGGATAAGAAAATGTTAAGACTTGATAGGTATTTCCAAACTGTCCTCCAGAAGGTTCTACCAATTTATGTTCCCGCCAATGATATATGAGACCCACTTCCCTCATGGCCTCACTAACAGTTGTCATTGTTATTTTTTTTTTAAAACAAAAGCATTGGCGGGGCCAG